TCAGGTCCTGAGCTACCAAAGCTATAAAAGCATTTTGTGTCCACAAACTCCATCAGTATTTGGACATGCCTTCAAACAGTACTTTATGTTTGCTTTGTAATTATTCTTTAAATTGTACATAAATGTTTCAAATACCCTTCTCAATGCTTGATGTCTCACAATGTTTAAAATGACAATAAACTTCCTGATCTTACAGGATTTGTCTTTCATCTGAAACCTTTAAATGTTCTGGGCAGGTGCTGTGGCTTAGCTGGTAAAGCCACTGCCTGCAGTGCTGGCATCGCATATGGGCACTGGTTCGAGTCCTGGCTGCTCCGCTTCTGATCCACCTCTCTACTATGGTCTGGGAAAGCAGTAGAAGATGGCACAAGTCCTTGGGCCTCCGCACCTATGTGGGAGACCCAAAAGAAGTTCTTGGCTCCTGCCTTCAGATAGGCGCAGCTTTGGCCATTGGAGCCAACTGGGGAGTGAACCAGTGGATGGAAGAAGACCTCTCTCTTTCTCTGCCTCTGCTCTCTGTAGCTCTACCTTTCAAATAGATAAATAAATATTTTAAAAAAATGTTCTGAGCCTTGAGGGAATTTATCCCTTGATTGATTCAGATCTCTTGTTGGATACGACTATAATACAATCAATTCCACAGTCCTTATATCACAATTTTTTTTTTTGACAGGCAGAGTGGACAGTGAGAGAGAGAGAGACAGAGAGAAAGGTCTTCCTTTGCCGTTGGTTCACCCTCCAATGGCCGCCACGGCCAGCGCGCTGCGGCCGGCGCACCGCGCTGATCCGATGGCAGGAGCCAGGAGCCAGGTGCTTTTCCTGGTCTCCCATGGGGTGCAGGGCCCAAGCACCTGGGCCATCCTCCACTGCACTCCCTGGCCACAGCAGAGGGCTGGCCTGGAAGAGGGGCAACCGGGACAGAATCCGGCGCCCCGACCGGGACTAGAACCCGGTGTGCCGGCGCCGCTAGGCGGAGGATTAGCCTAGTGAGCCGCGGCGCCGGCCCTTATATCACAATTAACAAGAGATATTTCATAGACGGGTAACAAAGAGGAAGAGACAAAATACTATCAGGGCCTGACACTGTGGCATGCCATAAAAGACGCTGCCTGCAGTACGGCATCTCATGTGGGCACTGGTTCTAGTCCTGGCTGCTCTACTTCCTATCCAGCTCTCTGTTATGGCCTGGGAAAGCAGTAGAAGATGCCCAAGTCCTTGGGCTCCTTGCACCCATGTAGGAGACCCAGAAGAAGCTCTTGGCTTCAGATCAGCACATCTCTGGCCACCATGGCCATTGGGGAAGTGAACCAGTGGATGGAAGACCTCTCTCTCTGTCTCTGCCTCTGCCTCTCTGTAACCCTGCCTTTCAAAAATAAAATAAATAAAAACATACAATCAAGTAAAGGATTAGCTCTCAAGGCAGGTTTGACACATAGCAGATACCCAGCGGGAGTTAGCTGCTGATAAAACCGGCAGTACATGCTGTTGCTAAGGCTGACACAGACAGGGAGGGTTTCTCCATCTTTACTGCTTTGAAGAGTGTTTGGAGGTAAGATGCAGGATGTTGTGAAACTTGGGAGTTCCAGTACAGTTCTTAGCCAAAGACACGTGGCTAAATCTATTTTCAGATGCTTTTCTCAGGATTTCCTTCTTTAATCAATCAACAGGCATTGATATTTCTGGTCAAGGCTTTGAATGGAGCAAGGGTCTCGTGCTTAATCCTAAATCCTGTAAACTGTTTGTCTTGCTGCCGCTCTATACAATGTGGCATCATTTGTTATACACTATGCTTGTTTTTCAGCAAGTATTAATAGCGTATGCTGGGTGTGAATCTAAGGTTCAGGTTGGGGAAAGCATAAAGCTGGGGGTGATTATGCAGAATGATTTGGTAAACAGCAAACGAATACACATGGAGGATAGGAATGCTTCTGGATCCCATAATGAGGTCTGTTTGGGACCAAGTCTGGAGGAATCCTGTGTCCCACCTAAGAGGATTGACCACGTTCCCATCATGACATACCGTACTGTCTTATCTATGTTTCTTGAAAGAGGTCATGGTTACCCCCAGTCACCAAGTTTCAGGGTGAAAAGTGAAATATTGAAGGTCACAGAAGACATCTGAAACTCCCCTGTTCAGAAAGGGGCCCAAAGGGCTAAGAAGGGAAAAATCTAACCCAGAAACGAAAACAACCAAGTAGCAACCTCCAACCACATTGTCTAGAGAAGCTCAGCCCCTCAGCTTCAGTTACGCCTTGGTTGACTACAGGAGCTTATCGTAGCAACTTCCAGTTCTTCATCTGCACATGTGAACGATGTGCTCTGTGGGTATCCAGCCAACTGGTGAAACTGAAGTGAGGTGAAAGAGGCAAAAGTTGACTGCAAAGCCCTCTGCTATGTGAAGGTTCTTTTGAATCTTTTCTAATTACACAACTAATATTTCTTACTCATTACTAAAAATTCACAGATAGACAACCACACACGATTATAGAAAATCTCCTGTGTAAATCTCAGTCTTCAGAAGTGGCCACGTTTGATAACTTGGTGCTTATTGTCTATTTTATGAACATGTATACATGTGTGTAATTAACAAAATAGAGATCATGTCCTATAAACCAGTAGAATACTATGAAGTGACTTTTAATGACGTAAATTGTTATTTAACAACACGGGACTGTATTTAATAAAAACTACAGAACAACATTTACAGTGTGACAGTGTTTTTGTAGACACAGAACACAGCTACCTCTGGGAAGAATACATTGCAAAGAAATGAGTAATTTTACTTTCTACTTCACATAATTCTCTACCATTGTAATATTTTAGCTTTTTTAAATAGTTATTTTATGTATTTGAAAGAAAGAGTTACAGAAAGAAGAAGATACAGAAGTGGGAAAGAGAAATCTTCCTCAATGGCTACAGTGGTAAGGGCTGGGCCAGACCAAAGCCAGGAAACCAGGAGCCACAAGTGCTTCTGGATCTTACATGTGAGTGCAGGGGTCCAAGTACTTGGACCATCTTCTGTTGCTTTCCTTGGCACATTAGCAGGGAGCTGGATCAGAAGTGGAGCAAAAAAAAAAAAAAGTGGGCAGCTAGGATTCGAACCAGCATTCAAATGGGATGCCAGCATCACAGGTGGAGGCTTCACCTACTACACCACATGCTGGCTCCTGTAATTTTTTACCTTAAACATATATACTTCCACAATAATATTTAAGACTATACAAAAGAAAGTGGACTCTAAATCAACAAGATAGAGAAAAAATGCTAAAGAAGATGTAAGTATACATGGAAGACCAGAAAAAAATGTTCTGAGAGGGAAGAACATACAAAAGTAACTAGACAGTGAAATAAAGGAAGCAAAAATGAAAGTAGAAATGACAGGAGCTTCAAAATTCCTCTTTTAGAGAAGGGAAAACAAAACTGATCATACAGTTTTTTCTGCCAAGTTTTTTGTTACGCATGACTCTCAACAACAGGATATTCTGCTCTGCTGACTAGTCCTCTTCAACTGCCCTGTGCAGAGAAAGGGCAAACACAAATCAAGGTTAAGGTCTGCCACGAGAGGAAGAACGGCTACATGTGAGCAGTGCTGGATTGCTTTACAGTTTCCAGTTTTCATACCGCATTTTCTAGAATGCAGAAAAGTCATACATTTTGGAGATGGGCTGCAGTGATAAACAAATGAAAGACAAATGTCCTTGAAAAATCCTAGCTTTATCAAGAAATAAGGTTTTATCTGGGGTCTGGCACTGTGGCGTAGTGGGTAAAGCCAAAGCCTGCAGTGCTGGCATCCCATATGGGAGCTGGTTTGAGTCCCGGCTGCTCCACTTCCGATCCACCTTTCTACTATGGCCTGGGAAAGCAGTAGAAGATGTTCCAAGTCCTTGGGCCCTTGCACCCATGTGGGAGACCTGGAGGAAGCTCCTGGCTCCTTGCTTCGGATCACCACAACTCCAACCATTGCAGCCAGTTGGGGAGTGAACCACCAAATGGGAGACCTCTCTCTCTCTCTCTCTCTCTCTCTCTCTCTGACTCTCCTTCTCGCTTTATAACTCTGGCTTTTGAATAAATCGGCTTTGCCGATCCAAAGCCAGGAGCCAGGTGCTTCCTCCTGGTCTCCCATGTGGGTGCAGGGCCCAAGCACCTGGGCCGTGCTCCTCTGCCTTCCCGGGCCACAGCAGAGAGCTGGACTGGAAGAGGGGCAACCAAGACAGAATCCAGCGCCCCAACCGGGACTAGCATGATTAACTTTCATATAGCAATCACAGTAGCACCATGGAATACCATAATCTTAGAATTATCACAGCAGGTTCAGTCAGAAGTCCCATGTGCTGTCCATTGCACCACTGAATCTACTAAAGTGTTATAGTTTTTAAATTCTTAATAGCTGTTGTTGAAAAGAAAGTGAACTTGAAATTAATATCAGCTAACCTAATAAAAAGTCCTGAAGTTCAATTGTTCTGTCATTGTTTTTGTTAAAACAGTATATCTTTTGTCTATTTTGGAAAGCAGTATTTACAAAAAGATTAAAGTTGTTTATTTGACAAGGATGCTGGCATGGAGATTTAAGGCTTCTAGATCTAGGGCCAGCACTGTGACATTGTAGGTTAAGCATCCTACCTGCGGTGCCCGTATCCCATAGGGAAGTTGGTTCGAGTTCTGGCAGCTCCACTTCTGAAGCAGCTCCCTGCTGATTGCCTAGGAAAGCAGCAGAAGATAGCCCAAGTGCTTGGGCCTCTGCACCCGCGTGGGAGACTCAGAAGCAGCTCCTGGTCCTTAGCTTTGGATCAGCTTGGCTCCGGCCACAGTAGCCATTTGATGAATGAACCAGAGGATAGGAGATCTCTCTCTCTCTCCCTCTCTCTCTCTGCCCCTGTCTCTCTCTCTCTGTGTAACTCTGGCTCTCAAATAAGTAAATAAAATCTTTAAAAAAGAAAAAAGACTTCTAGTTCTAGTTTGTCACTAGAGGTGAATCAAGTTCCCTTGATTTTTTTTGTTGTGTGTGTGTGTGTTTTGCCTTATTTGTTGAATAATTAATAAAGATATTAATCTCTGGCTGGCGTTGTGGTTCACTTGCCAACCCTCCACCTGCGGTGCAGGCACCCCGGGGTTCTAGTCCCAGTTGGGCTGCCAGGTACTACTCCCGGTTACTCCTCTTCCAGTCCAGCTCTCTGCTGTGGCCCAGGAGGGCAGTGAAAATGGCTCAAGTGCTTGGGTCCCTATACCCGCATGGGAGACCGGGAGGAAGCACCTGGCTCCTGGCTTCGGATCGGCGCAGTGGTGGCCATTAGGGGAGGGAATCAATGGAAGGTAGACCTTTCTCTCTGTCTCTCTCTCTGTCTATAACTCTCTCTCTGTCTCTCTCTCTCTGTCTAACTCTGCTTGTCAAAATATATATTAATCTCCATTTTTTAGATTTATTTCTTTATTTGAAAGTCAGAGTTATACAGAGAGAGAAAGAGAGGTCTTGCATCTACTTATTCACTCCTCAGATGGCCACGAAAGACATAGCTGTGCACATAAAGGATACCAGCACTGTAGGAGGTGGCTTTACCAGCTACACCACAGTGTTAGCCCCTAATCTCCACATTTTAATTTCAGATCTAAATGACTACAATATGGAAAGAAAAAAGACAGTCATAAGCAATATCAATATATTTTTAAGAATGTTGGTGAGGCCAAGACAACTTCAGCTGGCTGACAAGGTCACAGCAGAAGGTCTGTCTCAGCAAGGCATGAGAATGACAGCTGCAGTCCTTGTGGTGGTTTTAGGTTTGTTGGGAACTATACTCTGCCTAAGAAAGCCAGAGCTTCCTGCTAATGATTGCTGTATTCCTAATTTTAGGGAAGAGCACTTAGTCTCATAACCTCCAAAATGTCCATTGCTTTGTAGAATTTTAATCAAGCAGAATGTTAGTGTAGGAAAAAGGGTTAATGCTTTATGCAAGGCTGAGCTGTTTGTGGAAAAGAATTAAAAGGCAACACGCTCCCTGGTATATACCTCCCACCAAAAAAAAAAAAAAAAGGCAAATGTTAATAAAGCTTTAATTCAATATATGCTACAAATACTACAATGGTTAGGAGGTCAAAACTGTAGAATAGATTTAAGTGAACTTTTGAATAAGTACAATAAAGAAATTAGAGTTACAGAAAGAACTGCAAAGAGGGGATACATTTTAAAAAGGGCCTGCTTTGAACTTGGGGCTCCTAGGAAAGATTAGATTAGGAAGGTAATACTCTAGCTTGTGTAGCCAATTTCTGCATAGCTGGACAGCACTCCAAACCTTGGCTTGTGTGGGAAGCCCATTATCTCGCACCTGTCTATGGTTGTAACCCATGCTCTGAATATGCCCTTGGAAATCAAAGAAGTTATAACTAGAAGAAAGTGAACAACAAACTTGTTATTGTAAGAAGAAAGAATCATTACGCAACATGATATAAAAATAAAGTCTGAGCCAGAGCCATGCCATCAGCCTTGCTGTGAGTGTGTCTCTCGTTTCTTCAAGCGTCGACACCTCTCACACCTTGGGGCCCCTGAACTAGCTGGAGATGGTCTCCGAAGAAAGTGAAGCTTGCGAAAGATTTTTTTAAGGTTATAAATCTCTAGTGGTGCTTATACCAGCTAAATCCACAGAGCCAGGTTCAGGAACCACCTCATCACCTTCACAAAACCTGATACTGTGACTCATCTCTTTTCTGTTAACATATTTGTGCAACATGCTGTAGTACGGGTCTTTCGGATTGAAAGTATGTAGTGATGAAATCTGCTGCCATTCTTTAATGCTTGGAATGTGGATTTCCTTTGCATGCGAGCTCTCAAAGAAACATGTGACATTCTCTTTTGCCAATGCTGTTGCATGCTCTGTGGCTTGACTTTTAAGGATCTGCTGCTCCTGTTCCAAATAGATTTTCCAGAATTTCAGCTGCAGAAAACTAACTGGAGATAGGCATCGAGAGACTGCTGTCAAAAGCAGGAAGACGATGATAATAACTGCTATCAGGATCCAGCCGAACACCTTAAGAAGACAACAAAATAACAGATTAATCACTTTTCTTATAAGACATTTAAAATTCTTGGATAAAATTTGAACTACTTATCAGTTACATAAAAGCTATCATTTGGGGACAGGGACGTGGCACAGCAGGTTAAGCCACCACCTATAATGCCCACATCCCTTATGGGCGCCAGTTCATGTCCTGCTGCTCCACTTCCCATCCAGCTCCCTGCTAATGATACAGGAAAAGCAACAGAAGATGGTCCAAGAGTTTGGGCCCCTGCCACCCATGTGAGAGACCTGGATAGAGTTCCAGGCTCCTGGCGAGTGAACCAGCAGATAGAAGAGCGTGTGTGTGTGTGTGTGTGTGTCCCTTTCGCTGTGTAACTCAAATAAATAAATAAATCTTAAAAATGAAATAAAATTGCCCTTGACTTTAATCCCTTAAGATTAAAGAGTGGCAGTAACTCCCTAACTCATAGGACGATCATAGTCTTAAACCAAGTCACCAGGCTCAAAGAAAAGCCCATGTGTCATCCTCCCTTAGAACTCAGAACCTGTGGAATTTCTGCAAATCCAGTGAAAGGCGCCATCATTGCAAAGAACCGCTGAGCTCTATGGACCCAGACACTGGGCATTGGTGGCTTGGGGTTTGACAGACCCATCTTAACATAACAATTGCTCCCCACTTTTCTCCTGCCTGAACACTTTTAGCTAGACTACGTGTATGCACCATAAAATTGAAAAAACCATACAGGGCAGTTGGGAGACCTAAGAGGACACAGGAGGACGGAATAAGCCTCGCACGGGCTCAGGCACAGAGTAGGTGTGCAATTCACTTAAGGTGCCAGACACCGCCTGAATCCCTCTCCTCCTTTACATTGGTTTAATTTCAATATTCGCCTGTACGTTCATGACGAGCAGGGAGCCTTTCAAGATTTTCTTAGGGAGTCGCCAATTTCCCCGCCACGCGGTCCACCCCGCAGAAGCTCATCCACTCAGCACCACCCCACCGCGCCCTGCGCCCCCGGCCAACCTGAGACTCAGCCTTGAGATCCTTCAGGAGGTCCTGCACGCTGGACTCCTTGGCTTGGGAGCAAGGCACCAGCGGCAGCTGCTCCAGGCACTGAGAGGAGACATTGTAGCAGTGAGAGGAGACATTCTGGCACTGAGAGATTTTCTGGCACAAGCGCCGTGCAAGGATCTTGCTTCCGCTGGCTGCACACTCATAGAAGGAGCCGCCCAGCAGCGCCACGGCCACCCAGGTGAGTGGCACGAAAGCTGCAGAGGCGGTGAGCTTCAACAACACCAGGGCGCCGCGACACCCTGAGGGGCATTTTGCGCGGGTGCTCGAGGCACAGCAGCCGGTCAGCACGTGCCAAGTTCGTGCACTAAGCAAATAGCCCAGGAGGAAGAGCACGAGCGCTGGCACCAGCAGGAAGACCAAGCTATAGCACAGGTTCCAGGCAGCGGTGCAGGGGCACTGGAACACCACCGTGGAGAAGAGGCGCTCGCCGCCCGCGGTCAGCAGGCTGGTGAGGCCATAGAGCAGCGAGGTGCGGTGCTTGATTTGCAGGTCCAGCAAAGGCTTAAACTTCTCCATGGGCCTCCTATTTCAAATGCTTGTCTCTTCTCCGTCCTGCTTGTCAAAGCTTTAGGTAGAGTGGGGTCTGAGACTTTCCACTCTGTTAGGAAACAGTTTTCTAAAACCGAAGAGGGCGTATCAAGCTATCAAAACTTTCAGTTTCTCATTTCAACCAACAAGCTTGAGCAAACAGACCCACACCTACATCCCTGGACCGTTAACCTCTCTTGTCCACCCCCGCCCCCTTTCTGAAGGCAGAGACATTATTTACTTTTATCCCCAAACCAGGAACTCTTCCAGAAGAGCAACCCCATTCCAGTGTTTTTTTCCCCCATTCTGAGAACAAAGCAGGAAAATTTTCTTACCCTTCCTGACCCAAAGCAGCCACTTAAGCAAAATGGGTAAAACACCAGATTTTCCTTACTGAGGTCACCCTGCTTCCTCAGCCAACTGCCAAAAGACAACAAAAAAATTACAAAAACTGATCATGTACAGGAAACCTTACTCAAAAGAAATTTTTGAGCTAAATCACAATTGTAAAAGCCTACTCAAATTCTGGTACTTCCATGATGCTCTGTTCCCTTCTTGCCTCCTTCCTGGACAGAGCTACTTGCCTAGTGGACATCGCCTGTTCTCTTCTTTGCCTCATCTGGCCCCCTAAGGATATTAGAATGAACACATTGTGTTGATTCACTCATCAAAACAATGTGTGTGCGTGTGTGTGTGTGTGTGTGTGTTTCAAGTATGTCATAACACCATCAGTACCCAGAGGCATGTCAGATCCTTAGTTGAGGGCTACTTAGTTGTTCAAAGAGCACTAGTGGACCAGAAGACCTCAACCTGCACCTGCATCTAGCATGGTTCCTTTGCCTTTCCTTCCTCAAGGCTGCATTGCTTTGACGTACAGTGCGATTTCTGTGGCACAGAACCTTACTCTGTGTAGCTCCACAAAGTGAGTGAGGTGAGCTGTACTTGAAGAACATGAGCTTGGCAGTCAGGTGGATTGTGTCTGTGTGTGTGATTAATAAGGTATCCCTCTAAGACTAGAATGATAATAATGCTCACTTTTCAAGGTTGCTGAGACAAATAAATTGGGTAGTATATGTAAGGTGCTTTTACATACAGGATACATCTATTCAATGAGTGTTCAGCATTAGGGGTTACTTCTTACACTGCGACTTTGGAAATAGATAACAAGTAACCCTGTTATACATCATTTAAGAATCTAAATGAATGCTTAGCCTTAGACCAAAGATGGCATTGACTCAGGGCTGGTGAGGTGGAGTACTAGGTGAAAGACTCTGCCTGCTGAAGTCCGCCAGTTTGTGTCTCCACTGTTCCTCTGCTGATCCAGCTCTTTGCTTATGGCCTGAGAAAGCTGCAGAAGATGGCCCAAGACCATGGGCACTTGCACCCATGTGGGAGACCTGGACGAAGCACCTGGCTCTTGGCTTCTGATCACTCCAGCTCTAGTCATTGCAGCTTTTTTGGGGAGTGAATCAATGGAAGGAAGTCCCTTCTCTGTCTCTCCCTCCCTCTGTCTTAACGCTACCTCTCAAATAAATAAAATAAAATCTTTTTTTAAAAAAAGAAAAAAGATGGCATTGACTCAATATCCTTTTAAACAATTGATGGGCCCCTTAGCTGTCTGCCTCACCGCAAACAGGGTGTCCAGAAATAGACTTTGAGTGAGCAGTTCACAATGCACTGGTTGCAGCTGATGCCCATCCATTAGGCTTGCTTTATCTTATCTAGGAAAAATAAATAAGCCATGGAACCACATGAATTATTACAGAAGAAGCAAGAAGTATACTCTTTTCCTAGTCCAAATTGCCACTGTAACTACTGCACTACCACCACCAGTACCTCACACAGTGCTTGGCGCACTACCAACATCCCATAGTGGTGGCATAAATAAGTACTCTTGCTATGTAAGTTTTTAGAGGTCAACCCTAGAATAATGCCCTCTGTGTTGTGTAGGACTTCTTCTCTGAGATTACACCAGGTACTGCCAGCCTTCCAGGAAACATGCAATAAGGTTGCTTGTTTGGGATTAATCACTGTATTATTTCTGCCATGTTCCTTCTCTTGGGCCTTGAGTAAGATGGGCTCCTCTTCATCACTATTCCACTTCCCATACTCCAAAATTAACAAATTTCACTATATCCACAACATTTGTGCAGATAGCTTTACCCAAATCCCCTTTAACTGACACCTAAAATGCTTTTTCCTTCCTCTTAAATGAGGTTTATTCATTCTCCCGTATCTCTCAAACCAAAATGGGGGCTGGAATTTTCCTTATTACCCACCATGAAGTCCAAACCAGGATATTACCACTGTTTCTCCACAAGACTCAGGCAACACGCACCTATTCCTCCTCCACCTCACTTTCCCCTCCTTCATTGAGACTTTAACAAAGGCAGAAAACTCCCTTTCTCTGGCTCCTGTTATTTGGTCAAGCACTGCCCCACACCTGGATTATTTATTTGTTAGCCACTTTAATAAATTAGCTCAGTTGTTCAGTCAGTCATCTTAATATTGAATAAGCACTAGGTATCTACACAAAGTGCTGGTAATCCTGGATACATCAAGGAACAAACAGGTACCCTGCTCTTCTTGAGCTTATAGTGAAGAGGAGATGCAAAATCAGGGCTGGTGGGAGTCCTACATTTTATTCAAAAAACGGAAATGGAGTGATACTTTAGAGAGTGTCTTGAGAAAGTTTCTCTAAGGAGAGGACGTTAATCTGAATTAGCCAAGAGTCTGGGATGCAACGGAGTTTAGTTGGAAAAAAGGCCAAGGTAATGGGAGCATTGAGATTGGGAGGCAAGGTAGCATATCATGAAGAAAAAGCAGCAAATGGAAGATCAGATTTATGCAAACTGTGTATTCATAGACCAGAATAGGTAGTTGGCCAGCCTGCCCCTGAAATACATCTTTGTCCCTTCAGCTTGTGTCTCCGAATGCCACCTCTTAGATTGGCTACTTATGTGCGTCACCAATTGTGGATGTTCCAGATATTTATGATTTGGGGGGTAACTATTAGAGGTTTCTATAACCATTGAGTCTTAGTTCTACCTGCAAAGCACTGGCCATTAGGTCGAGTGCACTGGCCATTAGGTCGAGTGCACTGCCATTCACTCTATCACCTCAGGGTTAGTGGATAGTTCTAGTGCTTGGCCTAGTGAAAATGCCAAGCCCTCCATTCCCAACTCTGTGTCTGAGAGGACAAGACATTGCTCAGAAGGTCAGTCTGAAGTGGGAACAGACTAATCTACCAATGGTGTGGTAAGGTCTTAAGAATTCTCTGAGTCTATGGGGCTGGTGCCATGGCGCAGTGGGTTAATATTCTGCCTGAGGAAATGGCATCCCATTTCTAGTCCCGGCTGCTCCTCTTCCAATCCAGCTCTCTGCTATGGCCTGGGAAAGCAGTAGAAGATGGCCCAAGTTCTTGGGCCCCTGCACCCCCATGGGAGACCGGGAAGAAGCTCCTGGCTCCTGGCTTCTGATTAGCACAATTCCGGCTGTTGTGGTCATTTGGAGAGTGAGCCAGCAGATGGAAGACGTTTTTCTCTCTCTCCCTCTCACTGTCTGTAACTCTACCTCTCAAATAAATAAATAAAATCTAAAAAAAAAAAGAATTCTCTGAGTCTAGGCTAAACAAATGACCAATTTATGCTTTTGAAAATCTATGATTCTCACACCAACTTGCTTCATCTTAAAAAAAATGCGTGTAAGATTCTTGTGTTAAATACACTGGGAAACCAATGATTTTTTTATAGGTTTTGTTTGCTTTTCTTTAGCTGTGGCAATTTTTTCTCAGCACTTTCTTTAGCAGCATCAAGATGGGTTTCAGAAACCACAAATTGTTTCTCAGAAACAGAAAGCAAGAGAAACTTTGAAAGGAAATGCACATTCACAAGGTGAATCTGAAGTTCCATGTAATTGTCTTCAAGTCAGTTAGTTCTCACACACCTTCCCTGTAGACCTGATGAAAACTCTGGATAACTGAATGACACTGCTTAGAATACAATCGCTAGATTCTAGCAAAACATCAAGCCTGCCCCAAAAGAGCCACCAGAGAGTAAAACCAAATTAATGTTTAAATATCTTGAGTATAACCCATGTACAAACATGATACCAGATGCCAAAATTAACAAGTTATTTTAGAAAGCCTGACACTTCTAACTTTAAAGAGAATACATTTTTTACTGTTAAAATGCGTTCCTAGAGGCCAGCAGTATGGCGTAGAAGGTAAAGCTGCTGCTTGCAATGCCGGCATCCCACGTGGCTGCCAGTTCTTGACCCAGCTGCTCCACTTCCTATCTAGCATCCTGGAAAGGCCTGGGAGAAGTACTTGAGCCCCTGCTATCCTCATGGGAGACCTGGAAGGAGCTCCTGGCTCCTTCTGCCTTGGCCCAGGGCTGGCTGTTGCACTCTTCTGGGGATTGAACCAGCAAATGGAAAATCTCTCTGTCTCTCCCTCTCTCTTTTTAAAAATACATGCCTTTTTCTTTCATGTCAATATTGGATTTGAAAATCTGGAACATTTTATCATCTTAAAATGTCAAAAACAGCTTTATTGAGATAAATTCATGAATCATGCAAGTCATCTACATAAAATATACACTCCAATAGCTTCTCCTATGTTCACAAAATTGTCAACTGTCATCCCAATCAATTTTAGATCATTTTCATTACATAAATAGAAATTTCTTAACCACCAGTTCTCATTCTTCATTTCTCTACTTCCCACCCTTCAACTTCTTCCCTCCACCCAACTTCTCCATCTCCACCCCCACCCAACCCAAGTCCCCAGCAATCACTTGTCTACTTTCTGTCTCTATATATTTGGCTATTCTGGGGACACTTTTTAAAATTCCCTTTTATCTAAGTGTAATTGCATATCCTTTGATTAACACCCTTTTCCTGTGGTCTACTGCTACAAACTCATAACAGTTTAAAAAGGAAAAGGAAATCTTTTAATGTTTCACTATTCTCTTCCCATGGGAGGAGTAGGGAATTGGAACAGGTACCAGTGAGCACTTGCAGTCAGAGTTTATAGGGAACTGAAATGA